TGCCTTGTCTCCCGAGGCGCGGAGAGTCCTCCTGGCCCCTCGAGCTAAGAGCAGCCTGGCCCAGTTCTCCTGCCCTACTCTCCGCAGCTCCCAGAAAGGATCCACCCCGAAGGGTGGAGGGCCCCCGAGGCGGCTCTGACTCACGCTTGCTAGCGTGGTTTCGACCAGACTTTCAACCAGAACGACCCCCGCAGTCTGGCCCTTAGCTGGGAGCTCCTGGGGCGGCTCCCCACCCAGACCCTCCCACCAGTCCAGACTCCCAGCCCCCGGCATCTCCACCTCTCCACCTGTGACCCTTACCCAATACCCAGGAAGAAGTTAATGAAATAAAATGAACTCACTATGGCCAAGCTGCTAAGTTACTAAAGGTAAGCAGGCTGAGGTATGAAGAAATGATTCTATTCTTGTTTTAACTTAAACTTTGGAACTGTCTAGTCCTGCGTCAATGCCTGCATATACCTCAGACCTCCAGACAACTGAGAAACTACTCTGATATCCAGCCCACCTGACAGCCAGTGTGCAGGCCGCTGGTCAGCTAGAGGACTGCCCATCCGGAGGCTAAGAATGGACTGATTCTTCTGAAAAATGTACCTATAAGCCTTTCTTCCTCCTCAGGAACACTCCAAATATTGCTTAATTGTGCTACCAGTTTGCCAACCCTAAGATCCTTGGTTAAATCTTTGCCATTTCTTTATATCGAAGCCTCCAGACACTTACTGAGTTCCTTGGACACCAGGAGCCCCAGTTAGAGCTTTTACTTAGCATTTAACGGTGTTTCCCTGGAGAAAAGAACTTCCCAGATTATCTGAACCCCTCCCTTGTTCACAAGCTCTTTGCTCGTCTAAAGTAGTTCCCAATCGAACCAATTTGAGCTCTGAGTTGTGTAGAATGAGGATGAGGTGGTGGTACAGGTTAGGGCTCCCACAAACACCATAGAAACCAGAATGAGGAACCATGATTTAAATCTCTGTAGCCTGGGACGGGCCCAGCTGAGTGTCTCTGTTTAGACATGAAGGGGAAGGACACAGCCCGGGAGAGTGTGTCTTGGCCAGAGGAGGGGGTTAAGAAATGGATCTGAACCCTGGCCTGCCCAGGAACTCTAAGAAGCCCAGAAGCAAAGGGAGAACAGGGGATGGAGTACATCTTCCCCATTCGCCCAGGCCTGGGTGGCGGGGGGGAGCTCTAACCCTGGGAACTTTCCAGGCCATCGCAGGTCTCTGCATACACACCTCTCTCACACACAGTTGTCTCTCCTAAAGTGAGGAGACGAGGGGCAAGAATTTGGGAGAACAATTTGGGACCTGGCAGGGGAAGCTGGGAAGGAGTGGCCTCGCTGGAGTGAGCCCGACCTGCAGGGAGCTGGGCACTGAATCTGGGGAGCACCTACTCCATTCCTCCCGCAGCTGATCACTACAGCCAGGCTCCGAGGGGCCGGCTCTAGAGTGTTCTCTCTCCCTCCTTCCTCTCCTTAGTCCCACCCACTTTGCCTGGTCTTGCTTGCCTCCCTGTTTCCATGACAACTCCAAGGGAGCCCAAACTGGGGGCTTGAATGCTAGGGTGAGAGGAGGAGAGACGAGTGGGGGTACGTCTGAAGAGCTCCCCCAACCCCGCCTCGGTCCCTTTAAGCTCTCCCCCCTCCCTGTTCTCCCTCTGCCCCCCCACCCCCACCCTCCGCGGTTGTCTTCTCTCCATCTCTTGCGCTCGCTGCTGGCTGCGCAATCCCTGCACCCAGACTCCAGCTCCAGTTGGAGACCCCCCGACGCCAGCTGCAGAGACCCTGACCCAGCGAGACAGAGACTGCAAGCATGTCATCAGAAAAGTCAGGTAAAAAGCCACGGCCAAACCTCCCACTCCCTCTACGGTCTCCTGACACGCCCCCCCCCCGCTCCCCCCCCCTCCCTTACCTCTTCCCAGCGGGTCTATCAGCTCTCAGCCACCCCTAGGCCCCCTCCTCTTCCTTCTCTTCCTTTCCTCCTTCCAGTTCCAGCCTCTGTCCCTGCCAACGTGGGCAGCAGGGGGTAGGCTGAGCAGTAAGGGAAGTAGGAGAGAGTGGCTTAGCATCAGCCAGGTGCTGCAGGGATAGATAGCATGGTGGGGAGTGACAGATGGACAGATGGCACTGGCTGGCATGGGGACATCCAGTGGGGACGTATGGAGGCACCATCACATGCGGGTTGTTAGGGGAGTAAAATCCAGCAGACCCTCCTTTGTCAGCCCTAAAGGAAGCACAGACTCCCCTCCCCCCGGAGGAACGGCAGGGTGGACCGTGTCAGCCGGCGGCATGGCTTGCTCAGTGTTGAGCTGACACACGTTAAAGCCGTGTTGCATGGCTGCATGTACACGCGCAGGACGAGCTCCGAGAGGCAGGCCCGAGGCAGCCACGGCCAAGCAGGCGCTGGCTCCGCTGTGAACGCCGTGGGCCCCGTGCTGTGAAGAGCAGAGTTGTGACCTCAAAACTAGATAGAAAGGCAGAAGTGGGGGAGCACAGATGGCCTAGATACAAGCCCACTCCTGCCCCCAAAACGAGATGGCTTCTCACCTGTCTCCTCTGTCTCTCCCACTGTCTTTCTCCACCCCGGACCCTCTGTGTCTCCCCCTAACCCTCCCCATCTCGCTCTTATCTGCCCCTGGACCCTCGCCTCGGCTCACCGCCCCAGGCCTCCCGGACTCAGTCCCTC